ATTTTATAATTTCTGCATGCCATTTTACCAGATTTAAACTGATGATCTATAATCCGGAAAAATAATAATTTTCCGATAATCTGGAATCGCCGAAGTCCCGACAAGTCCGGATTAACGACTTTTGACTGTAATAATAAGTTGAGATTGTGTGAAAGGAAGGATATTACAGATAAGTTTGAATGGCGGTGCAAGAAATCTGGTGAAAATGGAAATTTTGTGAAACGGAGTGTAAGGAAGGGTACGTGGTTTGCTGATAGTTTGAGTATGGGTGAAATTTTATTCATTTCTTATTACTGGGTGAATAGACTGCCAGTTGACTACTGGATTTCGGATTTAGAAATTAGCAGTAGTACTGCAGCCGATTGGAACTCTTTCTGTAGGGAAGTGTGGGTGCCACGTAATGAAGATTCTGAAGAAGATTAGGTAAGTTAGTATTTTTAATCATTTGAGGATATTATTTTTATACATTGTTCTAAATGTAAGGAGTAAATAAATTAATATGGTATTATTGGAAAAGTGTTATTAGCAATGATTTAGTTTAAAGTATTTAGGATTGTAATCTAATTTTTATTAATTTAACGTATGTGCTTATTTATATTTTAAGTAGTGTTTTTTAATTTAATTATATTTTAATTTAATGATCATGATTTTGTGAGTTATATGTTTGTAGTATTTTGGAATATGTTTGAGTAGTATACGTTGAGTATTTTCATGCATTTTCGTGAAATTTTTCTAATTTATGAGAAAAAAGCAGTGTACATGGATATAGTGAAGAGTGTACGCAATGCAATTTTTGTGCAATTCTGGGATGTTTTTTAAGTAAAAATAAGTCGACATGTACATGGTTTAGTGATATTTTAATTAAATGATAGTTATTTTGTGAATTTTATGTTTGTAGGAATTTGGTATACGTTTCAGTTGAAGTAAACGTGCATGGAAATAATTTAAATATTTGACACTAAGTATTTGTAACCATTTTTAATGTTTGCGGTAGAAATTCATTGGTAACATTTATAATATAATAGATAATTTAGAGGTAAAAGTTTTTGGATATTTTATTTATTTTATATGTGGAAATGTTCATCCTTGGAAAGGGTATATACTTTCTCGCGATCAGGTAATTTCATATACTATTATCAGAAAAACGCATTAAAAATTTAGAATTCACTTTACATAGCGCCATGCAATCCGAAAATTAATGAACACTATTTCACACAACACACAATGAAGCTTAATACAAAATAATATAGTACTACAGATATTTTTCCAAATTTTACCCTCTTTTCTGATTAAAGAACTGTAATTCGTCCATTAATGTCACATGACATATCTCATGATCTCTCATTTCCCTCACACAAAATAAAGCGCAATCGGAACTGAGTACTTCTCACATTATTACCAAAGTTCTAGGTAGTAACCTTTATCGCCTCCAAAATGTCACCAAACTACCTGTTACCATATTCCAATGATCAGCCCTTATTTTTACTTAAAAAAACCATCCCAGAATTACACAAAAATGGCATTGCGCACACTCTTCACTATATCCATGTACACTGCTTTTTTCTCATAAATTAGAAAAATTTCACGAAAATACATGACAATTTTCTGAATCTTTAAACCCGGTAAAAAGAACATATATGAAATTACCTAATAACGAAAAAGTATATACCCTTTCCAAATATGAACATTTCCACGTATAAAATATCCAAAAACTTTTACCTCTAAATTATCTATTATATTAAAAACGTCACCAAAGAATTCATACCGCAAACATTACAAATACTTAGTGTCAAATATTTAAATTATTTCCATGCACGTTTACTTCAACTAAAACGTATACCAAATTCCTACAAACATAAAATTCACAAAATAACTATCATTTAATTAAAATATAATTAAATTTAAAAACACTACTTAAAATATAAATAAGCACATACATTAAATTAATAAAAATTAGCTTACAATCCTAATTACTTTAAACTAAATCATTGCTAATAATAATTTTCCCAATAATACCAAATTACTTTACTTCCACCTTACATTTAGAACAATGCATAAAAATAATATCCTCAAATAATTAAAAATACTAACTTACCTAATCTTCTTCAGAATCTTGATTATGTGTCCGATAAACTTTTCTTATTTCTGTTTCAGGATCTTTAAAATCATACTTATAGTTCACAGCAAGGTACCAGGTAAAATAAATAACTTAATAAACATCTTTACTTACTTCTATCTCACACAACCTTAAAGAAACACTTATTACACTACCCCTTTCAATCCCACTAAATACCCATTTCGAATTCTTTTAGTAAGGGCCATGGGTCCAAAATTAATGAACACTGTTTTACACAACACAGAATAAAGCCAAATACAAAATTTCCAGATTTTTTCCCGATTTCCCCCCTTTTCCGATTAAAGAACCGTAATTCGCCATTAATATCACTGACATATCCCATGATCTCTCATTTCCCTCACACAAAATAATGCGTAATCGGAACTGAGTACTGCTCACATTATTACCAAAGTCCCAGGTAGTAACCTTTATCGCCTCCAAAATGTTGCCAAACTACCAGTTACCATATTCTAAAGATCAGCCCAAATAATTTTAGAAGTGTTTCGATGCTGTTAAGAAATTTTGGCTAATCTTTGGAATATGGCAACAGGTAGTTTGGCGACATTTTGGTAAGGCGATAAAGGTTACTAGCTAGGACTTTAGTAGTGTACATGGATAAAGTCAAGAGTGTGCGCAATGCCATTTTTGTGCAATTCTGGGATTTTTTTTAAGTGAAAATAGGTCGACGTGTACATGGGTGATACCGTGTATGTGCAATTCTTAAAAACGCGGCAAGCAGTGGGCGATTCTGCACTTTCTTCCAATTTCGCACCTAATATTCGTCATGATTAAGCACTTTTGTTCCATAAAAGTTCTAGCATAAGCGTAATTCGGCTAGCAGATTGCTGGAAAAAAATGTCGAGTTAAAAAAAAAAAAACATGCCTTTACTTCGTGAAAACAAAATGGCGTCCAAAACAAAACTAGCAGGTTGCTGTAGCAGGGTTGGTCGCGAAATTTTCGCCAAAAAATCGCCAAGTTACCATAATCCAAAGATTAACTGAAATTTTGTGTGCCACAGACTAAAGGCGAAGGAATTTCTAAATAGGGTAAATGGATAGCCTATTTAGAATCTTAGCTTTTTGTAGTGCTTAAATGTATAACATGTTTTTCCTTTTTCATGTTATTTTATTCTTTGGTTTAAAACATAATTTATTGAAATTATGTATTTTTTGTTTGCCTGTATTGTAGAATTGGGTGCTCCTTTGACTTCTTTAAGTGAAAATATATCGATGAGTTTATGGACAAAGTGAAGGGAGTGCACAATGCAAGTTTGTGCAATCCTTCAATTTTGTTTAAGTGAAAATAGGTCAATGTGTACATGGATAAAGTCAAGGGAGTGTACAATGCCATTTTTGTGCAATTCAGAGTTTTTTTTAAGTGAAAATAGGCTGATGTGTACATGGATACCAAGTTTGTGCAATTCTTTGTGTTGTTATTTTGGCTTTGTGTAGCAGCAATTTTTGGCGCTAAAATTGCCGTTATGCACGACGAAATAATAAATCAAAGAACTGCACAAACTTGGTATCCATGTACTGCCAAAAATCGCCAAGGGGTACCCTAAAATATACTTTTACGTAACTTCTTATTTTAAAGATATGAAAGAGGTTTTTCTTAAAAATATTTGTGACAATACAACAACAAAAATTAGCATTTACGATAACCATATACACGCGTCAAAAGCCAGCATCTTTGCAGTACAGAACCTGCCAGTAGCTGAGAAGTAAAGTCACTGAACACTGGTAGTTCAAAAAGGTTCAAATCCTACTGAATGGGCTGGCTGAATGTGCATTCTTGTGGTTTTCTCATAAGTCCAATATGATTATGAACCAGTTTCTTTCAGAAAATTTACTATGAAGGTATCTTTCCCTTTAGGCACATAGCCCTCACATAGTATAATTATACAAATCAACTACTGTTGTACAAAAGTAAAGTGTGAAAATAGAGAATTATAGAATCTAAACTCAACCTTTGCACAATATTATTATATATGCTCACTACATTACTTACATTATTTTAAGAATGTTATCATTTAGCATCTTATCACTGAATAATTAACTATAAAAAATAAATTCTAATCTTCTTTTTTTAATTCAATGATTTTAATTCAATTTTTTAATTCAATGATTTTTTTAATCATCCTTCAAGGCACTTATTTTTTTTTCTCAGTGCATGACAATACACTGCATGTAATGAATACGTGAATACTTTTTTTTTTCCTTTTGTTTGTTTGGTATCAGAGAACATAATAATTATTCGCAACGATCTCATATATTACTTCATCATTTCTCTTTACCTACGAAACGAAACCTAGCACATCTTTCTTAAAAATACTGAAGAAATAAGTCAAAATAGGGGAAAAGTGCAGAATCACCCACTGGTTGGCGCGTTTTTAAGAATTGCACATACTCGGTATCCATGTACACATCGACCTATTTTCACTTAAAAAGTCAGAGAAAATTGACAAAAATCGAATTCTTCTTACTCTTGTAAAAAAAGCACCAAACAAACGCCAACCAAATAAGTGGGCGAATCTGCACTTTAGCCAAAAATAGAACTTAATGATAACATCATAACGTACTATAATGTACACTACATGGACTGCACATAAAGGAAGCTAAAAAATTCCGTGCGAATTCTAAATTAATAAATCTAGAAGAATAAGGGAAATTTTTTAAAAAGAGGGGAATATATTTCATTCTAAATGCAATACGTAATCATATAGATCAATTGAGTATTTCAGATAAAAATGTACAAAGAAAATTCTAAAAGTATCGGTCTGTAGAAACAAAACAGCAGACGCCTTTTCATTTTTACATAGACAATAATATTTGTTTTTCATAATTTAGTTGGAACACATAATTAAATGTATCTCACTACACTTACTCTTCCTTGGTAGGAAATCCTTCATATGCAAATGAAAGAGTTATTAAACAGAAACAAACTGAAAAGCACTTAAAACGAATCATGACAGCGGTAAATAATGTCAATGCGGTTTCGTTCTCATGACATTGCCATTCGGAGATACTATAATTAGAATGATTATTTCGAAGGAGTCATAGTTGATGCTCAAGTTGTTTAGTTTCTAGATGCAGGATATAGGAACTTCTAAAGTTTTCTCCTCAAAGATCATACTTTTATATTTGTGAACCAGCTTCAGTAGTCAGACGACTTTTTTTTTTTTTTTTTTCTTTTTCAAGGAGGTAGAAAGTTTCCGGAAGTGTGTGTACGTCATCAGCGAGGAGGGCGCATGCGTGAAGCGTAAACAAAGAAACGTCCTGATTCACATAGGAGAGAAATTTCACACACACACAGATCGTATTTTATTCTCGAGTGTCAAGATGTAGAAACATCTTTTTACTCAACTTCTGATAAGGATCGGGTGGGAGGGAGAAAGAGTAGGGCGAAAGGAGTGTGGGAGGCGGTGAGAGTGAGGTCTTCACTAGCGGCGGCGGAAAAAGGGGGGCTGGCAAGTTCAGTGTCGTTATAAGATGTAGCCGCGGGCGGTAAAGCGCAGAGTCATTTTAGCGTGAATGAGTCAATTTAAGGTTGTGACTCTTATGTGAGAAGGATGTCACATGGGTAACGATGTTTTTCTCTGGCATGCGGGGAGTGTCTGAGAGTGCTAATAAGGCTATTACTGTGGGTTTGTACTGAATAAAAGAAGTTGACCGCTAATCGTTTAATATACTCTTGAATAAGTTCGATTCGAAGGTCTTTGTGAATATAGATGTTTGGAATATACCAAGGAGCATTGATAATTTCTCGTAGAATTTTATTTTGTAGAATTTGCAATTGTGTAACCCCCCGAGCGTTACGGGTTTTTTCAGGAAACGACGTAAAAATAATCGTGTTTTCTTACCAGGTCTGTCGGAAAAGCGGCAAACATTTTTACTCAAACTGCTTCAAAAGCAGGGCCCCCTTACCATGTGGATATAATTAAGCTAATTCTCCCCTCCTTTGAATTTAGCGAGTGAAATTAGTTTTTCTCCTTATGGTATCTTCGACACGAGACTGGTTGCTAAAATAGTATTTTATCTCCTATTTGGCTACTTTATAATTTGCACACTAACACATATACTGTATATTACTCGTACCTTAAATCAAGATATGTGCCGAATACAGAAAGTTAGTCAATATACATCAGTAAGAGAAACTACGTAAAATGCTTTAAATTTCCAGTTTCTATAAGGAATTGCTTCGATAATGGTGAAAAATTAATCTTGCATTTTTTTATCCTTATTTTCTGAGGAAATACTTTTTAATATACAAAAGGAATTTGTGAGAATTTTTTTCTCTCGTATTCCAATTTTTCGAATACAAATTATTCGTAACTTATTTTAGTATTATGTTTATATATAATTTTCAAATATTATAAGTTTATTCCAGTTTAAAGTGTTAGATTTAAATAATTCTTTAGATTGCATCATAAATTTATTAGTAGTTAGTTATTTATGACACCGTTTTGACTTGTGAGAAATAAATATTGTAATCGCGAAACATTTCGATTTTCATATTTCAAAGGAAATTTCCATTTTGAATAGTTCCATCATGACGTTTACACGTACGTATGTCGCATAACTTAACATAAAATGTTGAAATTTTATATTTGGGACTTATGACTAGTTTTAGGGCGACGTTTGTCCGTACGTATGTATGCATGTATATCGCATAACTCAACAGCAGAATAGATGAAGTGGCTGATGAATGAGATCAGGCAGTTCGGCTTTTATAAAGTAAAATCACTTTGGGGGTAGAAAACAAGAAAACAGCTTGGACAAAGGAGCTTCTTGAGAAAATAAATGTATTTTCGAGTTACAATGCAATTTCCTTGTAATTAGCTATATATGAGTTACAATGCAAGTATTTATATACTACGTGCATTATCGAGATGTTAATAGAAACCAAAAAAAAAAAAAAATTCTTTGTAGCAAAATTGTTAACGATATTATTTCTCCAAGACATTTACGCAGGTGTGTATTCTTTTCATGAATGATGAAAATAAGTTAACAGTTTTTCCGAGCAGATGCTCCAAATTATACAGCTTTGAAGATTAAGTAATGAAAACATAAACTCTTATTTCTGGTTATGTGCTGAAAAAGATATTACCCTTTTCAAAGAAAACACCTAATAGCGGAATCTCCAAGTTGACTTCAACGTAAATATACCTCCAGGGGGTACTGAACTAAAAGCTTACCACCTTTGTACATTTTCTACTTTATATGGGAGACCATTACCTTTGTGCAAGGACAAAAAAGCATCCGCTATCTATCTTTCTCAGTTCTTTCATTTTGTTAACTATGACGAGAAATGGAGCTGCCGTAAATTCTAAATTTATTGCTTCTTCCAAAGACTCTGATTTCAAGTTGTGTATTTGCCGTCTGTTAGTAATTTAAACTACCCTGGCTTTAAATTCAGAAACATCCTTTCATCAGTAATTACAGTACACATAAACACAATATCATTATTTAAAATGTGAACCAAGGACGTAAATACAGAACTTTTTTTAAGCTTCAACAATTGCAAGGACCTCGAGTTCATAACTGGTGTATTTACGCTCGTTGTCCGATGTTTTTTTTACATGTAGTAGACAGGATGAAAGCTGTTATGATTCATAGATTTTTGTAGTAAGACTGCCCCCAAGCCATCAATGGATGCGTCGGTATGAATTTCGATAGGACTGTTTTGATTAAAAATACTTAAAACTGGTTGTTGAGAAAGCAAATATTTTAATCTGTGAAATGCGGCTTTCTGATCAGCATGAAATTGAAACGAGGTGTCCTTACGAAGGAGATCACTAAGGGGTTTTGCAATGCTAGAATACGAAGGGATGAATTTCCTACAATATTCCGTGAGACCGAGGAAGCGTTGGACGACTTTCGTACTCTTAGGTTCGGAATAGTTAATTACAGATTTTGTTTTCGAAAGGGATGGAAAAAGTTTACCGTCTTCAACGATATGTCCAAGAAATTCGATTTTTTTTGTGAAGAAATTAACATTTACGAAAATTAATTTCTAGACCATATTCACTAGCAACTTTGAGTACTTGTGTGGAAAAATCCCCCAAATGATTTATGTATCGCCGTTAGAGGGCGCTTCGCCTCTGAAAAGGAATGTTAGTTTTTAGTTTGCGACGTAGTTAGTTAGCAGTGAACCTTCGATGCAACGAAAGTTGCTTTGTAAATAAAATGATTATTTTGTAGATTGTTGAAATATTTCACTTCATTAGAATTAGAACCACCTTTCGCAATATGGCGCATCGGTGCCGAGAACCTTTGGCCAATTTAGAAGTTTGTGTTTTTTAATTTTGGATATCATTTTATGCGAAGACAGCCAAGTAAGCCTGTATTTTCTATTTTTATATAATATGGAAGATCTTATTGCTAAACTGAAATCGAAACGAAAGGTATTGAGGACGGAGTGTCCAAGATATTAAAGAAAATTGAAACCGAACTGAATAAAGATGAAGTAGTATAAATGTAAATGTATTGGAAGAAATTTTAGACCAGTTAAACGAAAATCAAAATCCTTGAGCAATTTAGACGCTGAATAGAACGAGAATTAAAAGTCGGAGAAGACGATTTGAACTTGAAATCTCATCCGCTTTGGAATATGAAGAGAAATTCAAGTGTGGCAGTTTAGAGGAAAGAAACAGTTGAAAGAGTTGAAAAATTCGGACAATGCAAATAGAGACATTTCTAATGAAACCGTTACAGAATCCCAAAACGAAAGAAACAAATTCACTCGTCTCCAAAATAACGATCTCTAAATTTTATGGTGATTCTTCGGATTGGTTAGAATTCATAGGTCAGTTCGAAAATGCGATTGAAAAAATCCGAATTTATCAAAAATAAAAAATTAATTTTACTTAAAAAGCTTTCTTGGTGGCTCAGCCGCCAAAGCTATTTCTGGTTTCGCTCTCATCGAAAATAATTACGAAGCTGCTCTTGAACTGTTACGTTCCAGATTTGGTCAAAAGAACATCTTAATTAATTCGCATTTAGGACAACTCTTAAGTACTTCACCTGTTAGAAATCCTAATGATATAAACGGATTAAGAAAACTTTTTAGATCACGCCGAAGTACAGATAAGAAATCTTGAAGCATTAAAAATAGACTCTGAGACCTACGGAAATCTCTTAACGCCTTTAATTTTGAAATTACTTCCTAATGAATTCGTTCTTGATTATAGCCGAAAAATTAAAGACGAAAATTGGGATTTAAAAGGTTTTTAGCCTTTTTGAGGAACGAAGTTCAGTAGTAGAGACGCGCGGCTTCTGTTAATTATAATTCCAGAGAAAAATATTCGCGATTGGAAAAGCATTTGCCCTTCAAACATAAACATTCTCCAGCCATAACGAGCAAGCCGTCTACAGTTGAGTTATTAGCGGCGTCATCCGAATCGCAGTGTCTGTTCTGCGGGAACACAATCATAAATCTGCGGATTGCGAAGTTTTAGTGTAGAAAAGAAAAGGAGATCTTAAAAAGTGAATCGCGGTGTTTTTTTTATGTTTAGGTCGGTATCACCGGATCCAAATTGTAAACAAAAAATAAACTGTGCCTTCTGCTTTATAAACACTCGAAAGCCATTGTTTATTCATTCCATCAGAAAAAAGATAATGAAAAACCTAAAAAGAAAACGTCGATTCGAGCGTTATTTCCACTGTTTCGTCATATAATTCCGATGAAAATAGATCTAATAAAATATATTACAAACGGCTTCTGCATTGGGTTCGAAATAATGATAAATCTGAAAATGTCAGAATTCTTTTTGATAATGGCTCAATGAGAATCTTTCATAACTAAGATGTATCTACTAAAATGGAACTTCCGATTGTTAGAAAAGAATCACTTTCTGTTTATTCCTTTGGTGATAAAAGTGCGTTAGAAAAAACCTTAATGTTGTTAGAGCAAAACTAGAAAATGTAAACGATCCTAATCTTAATATATATTGAGCTTCTTGAAATCGAAAATATATTTAATACTGTTATCTCTCCTCCAGATTTAACTTTGCTAAGAAAAAATAAAATTTTACAAAATCTACAA